TATATATATATATATATATATATATATATATATATATCGATAAGTTCGCATGCATGGCCTATGGGACATTGTTTATGAATCACTGTTTATCACCACAATCATCCGGCATGGCTGTGTGTGTGTGTGTAACATGAGTCGCGCGCATCTGCACTTCCTGTTTCGTCTCCCGTCACCCTCTCTTTGTGTCCGCCATGGTAGTCATGCAAACGATGATAGATGAAAGCCACATGTTGACGTACCCCAGGTCGACCGACACCAGCTGACAGGGACACGGAATAACACCGATGTGTGATTCGGGCCAACTTGTTTTCTGTCCTGATAATCGATTGTCGGTTGAGTGTGCTGAGTCCTGGCGAGTCTGTTTCGCTATAGCATCATGGTACACCATGTAACGCACACGTCTGTCTCTCCCAGTTCCTTCTTCATTCCCATTTTCCATTCCAAAATAGTGACCAACTTCTCTCCCATCATTAAACTCGTGTTTGTTTCAAAAAGTTAGACGGTTATCACTCTTCTTGGAATGTTTGCTCTATCGTGTTGTGGTGGGGATGCATCTGAAACCAGGGAATTTGACTCCCTCGTTGAAATTCCTTTCTGCCGGAAGATGGCGATTTTGGAGTTCGGCACCTCGGGTTCACGAGGATCACGTTTTGCCGCTGTTATTGATACTCGACGCCGGTGAAGTAAATGAAGAGCCCTGTTTGTGTGGCTGGCCTCTCTCTGTTCGATTCTTCCAAGAAGATTAGTCACTTCAGGAGAATGTCCTTCGAAAAAAGTATGGTGCAGATTTGAATTCCTCAAATGTAGCAACCAAAACCAGATTGTGTGTGAGGCAGATTCATTTGAATCAATCTTCTGTTGTATCTAAATCTCCGTACAAATGAGAAGAGTTCATAAACCTCATACAATTTGGTTTCAAGTATGCTGTATGGTTGATGGGACTGGGCCTAGTTGATGTATCGTGGGAAGGGTGAAAACGGTTGTAGTTTGGATGGGATTTGTCACAGATTTAATGAGTAATATGACTCACCCGATTGGCGACTGAATGTTTTTGTCTAATTTAGTACAATTTGTTTTTGAACTGGTCGGCGGAATGTCAGATGAGAGTGAGGGCTATGCCGACCTGCTCAGACAGCCTTCCCAGTTAAGAGTACTCGGAATGTCGCTGAAATCCATTGAAAAGTAGCATATAATGTAAAACTCAGCCATTATCACAGATTGTTCCTCTCAGTAGCGATAAAAAATGAGTGCGACTGGAGAGGTTATTCCAGTCAGCATCATCATCATCGAGAGCATGACATCAGTTTTCAACACAGTTGCTTCACTGTCGTCCAGAATCCAGTGTGGGAGCAGGGTTAGTTTGTTGCCGTGCTTGCTTCAAAGTACTGACATTGGAGGTGGCCAGAGCGACTGGGTGTCGAGGCTTAAAGATTGATTTGTCGGCACCGGATGACACGCAGATGTTGTTGTCAAAACGAACGGAACCATCAGTCCTAACTGCTGGGCCTACAAGAGGAGAGTTATTAATGGGGTGGGGAGAGGGGGAAGAAAAAGTATGTGAAGGAGAAAGAAGGGAGGCGTCAGCAGTAGCCTGTTTTCGCTTACCCGCCCTGCTGTATGCAGCAAGTAAGGCGACCCGGCTGATGGCACCACGCGACGGCCGATGTGGCATGAGGATATTGTTAGACGTAGGTGACACGGCTGTACCGGGATTGGGATACTGTCAGGGCATCCACGCCCAGACAGGAGGACGATTAGGGTCCTCACCATGGCCTTTATTTCAACAGCCTAACCTAAAGACAATGGTGTTCGGCGGGAAATACAAATATGGGTTTCAAGTGCTGTGGGGCTCCCTCACTAGGAAGTCCCGACTGGCGGGCCAGTCGATTGACATAACCAAGGTATGTTACTGGGCCGTCGTTCGAGGGATCGGGCGTTTCGCCCACAACACTCAAGGGCAAACATGCTCACCTGTACAGCGTGCGCTGGTGGACTAATGGTAACACGCTTTCCTCGCATGTGAGATGTGCGGGGTTCAAATCCCGGCACGATCATTGGATATGCACTGCTGATTGGCTCTAATAAGAGCGAAACTCGAGTCCAGTACTTCCCCCCCGTTCATGTGGACTTACCTGAATCATTGAGCCAGGACAGGTGAACGATTGCTCAAACGGGAAACGTAAAAGTATGTATTCTATAAATGTATTGCCATTTCTAAGGAACAAGACGCCACATGTTCCGACGCCCAACCTGGAGGACCAGGGGATTGTGTTCGTCAGACCTCTGACCATTTACAGGTTAGTATGAGAGACTCTGTGAGTGTCTCAAGGACATCCTCACTCGACCGCTGACGTGCGCAAACCATCACACCACGCTAACGCCCTCAGTCTCTTCGTGACGAAGTGATCATCAGCTTGCCAGAAAGCAAACACAGTAATTCTCCCAGGATAAAAACATGACTTGGATTCAAGTTCACTATTCCTGCAGCCATTTTGGCGGACAAGACAATTTTGCAGAGAAATACGCTAGTCGTTCACGGATAAGAATAACACTGAACTATGGTTGATTTTGGAGTGTTTCATGAAACAGCGGTTTAGGGCAAGAGTACGACAAAACCCTAGGTGCAAAAGAATCTCGCCAAGAGAAAAAAACTTTCATTCCGAAATTTGTAGACTTTCGTGACCTTCCATGCATAGAGAGTGCACTTTTATTGCCTTCGGCGTCGTGTTGTACCCTTTTTATCAAGTAGTAGACAACGGTCAGTTGGAATCATCTTAGAGCTTCTTGATTTGTAAATACAGCTTATTCGAAACAAGGATCACATAGTCGATTTGTCGAAATATGGGATCACATAGACTTTAAATTTTCAATATAGATAGGTTATCGTGAGGAAACGATAAGAAAGTTTTGCCGTACTTTCAGGCCTCCCTGCCGGGCTGAACACAAACATCAGTGTAACCGAGCCGCCCTAATTCCTTGGCTTTCCACGAGGTGGCCTTTGTAGCACGGTGAAGGTGGGTATTTTTAAGCAGAAGTGGTAATCAAAATACACGGATGGATTTGAGTGATCAGCATGATTTCAAGTTAGATTAAATAAAAGGGACTGTTCTGATTAGTGCGACTCTCCGATGAGTAACATGCCGCATTGAATCACGGCAATTTATCATGAGGAGCTTTCAGGTCTAGTTTCAGGGAATTTCGGCTCTGAATTGATGGCACGTTTGTGTTTGTATTACTTCAGGGGCAGGGGAAGAACCAGGCAGTCCTGTATACGTGGAAACCGAAGATCATCAATATCGGGAGCCAGCGTCTCGGTCGTTGGCTCCAGCTGAACGGGTCAGCAGCAGATACTACAAGTTGGCGAATCAGCAGATATGACAATCGAGCTATGCATTCGATCGTGCAAGCGATGTAAATGCAGTGCCCCCCGTTACCTAGACGCGACGTCTTCAGTGAACTTCAGTATTACATGGACGGGGTTGCTTGTAATACGGAAATGTCGAACGCTCCCTACACCTGAGCCTATTTCGCCAAGTACTCAATACTTGTGGATATCCGAGATCCACGTATTCCGGCACAATAGGATGAACCTGAGTACTACTCACCAACCATCCTCATCTGGGTTGATGGATTTTCACCTTGCTAAACTTCACTTAGAACCACCTAGCAAAATAGAGTGTCGCAAAGAGGCGCTTTGATATTATCTCAAGAACACTACGAAGACTAGTTGAAGCCGAAGAACTAACAAGTTGCCCTGCCCTATCTTTCAGGCTTGCTAGAATCACCCGTTATTCTTTTTTGGATCTGGTTGATCGAAGGATGCTAGGGTAACGCAGCAGAGAGATATGTTCAGTGAGACTTGCTACCTTGAATGCTAAATTGCTTTCTCATAGTCCCCTCATCCCACAGTGACACTCTCCAGTGGAACAACCCCTGATAGCATCTCCAGAACTTCATTTTAATGTTTACCATATCTGCAGAGGAAAAAACAGTTATGTGGCCCAAAACCTTGTATCTCCCAGGAGTGAGAAAATGCAAATATAGAAGCAACAATTTTACCGGTCTCTCGACGAGCCACCTCTGGTTTTACACCCACAGTGAGTATAAAATGGGATATTCGGAAGCTTGGTGTGTTTCCTGCTCAAACAGGGGGTGAAACACGAGTTGACCGCTCTCGCCTTGGGTGTGGGCAAATCAGAGTCATCTGCAGGGGACCGCTCAAGCAGGACTGGTGGTCAAGCAAGTGAGACAGACTAGGGATCACTCCTTACATAGACCGGGAAGTCTTGTTCAGAAGAATGCATCCTAATGTTAGTGTTGTGTGGTGCAAACTGCATGATTGAAGACAGTGACTAGACAGATGTTCGGACACTGAATAGCATTTCATGTGTTCCGGAGCAGATTTACTGCCTACAGTTACCGAACATGAGCACGAGTCCCTCCGAACAAGGAATTTACACTTGGGTCAAGAGTGCCGATAGTTTTGTGATAGAGAGGGAGAGGTGTATGAACGAACGCGACTGTGTCGTGGATAATAACTAATTATTTCTTGATCGAGAGCTCGCTTTCGACTCTTCTCAAGGTCAGTCACCTCAACCGTGGTTCATAATTTTGAAGGACTTCAGCTAACCAAATTGGTGATATTTTATCACATGGGCCTGTATTTTGTCTAGCGTTCTAGACCTGTGCAAATAGCTAGACCAGAAGTGCATATTTTTGATACAAATTTGTGAAAGAATGAAGGACTGACTCACTCACATTTTGGAAATGTGGTAGCGACATTGTAATCGGTGCCCCTGGAATGCATGTGCTAACGTCGAACATGTTGTCCGCCATGCAATCTGGCCAGTTGACGCAAAATCCTCGATTTTTTTCCGAGGTTAGCGGAGAATCAAACGTGTCTGTATAGGGCAAGTACTTCATGACCGGGACACCGCGTAGTCTGGTCATTCCTACTGCCTGCAACTGAACCGAGCGACAAATGTCGGCACTGAATACGTACGGATCCTCAGTCGAGCTCATGAATGGATGGAACAGTGAGCCGTCAGAACCGTTGATTTGGTTCGCTTGATCGGATTTCCAGCATGATAAATGGGATGAACCACGATACCTATAGATGTGCCCATAATTTTGTTTGTCTTTGTTGTCCCCGTAGATCGTAATTATTCCATCGTCAGTGTTGTTTTTGTCCAGATATAGACCAATCATTGTGTTCGGTACAGGAATGAATGCCTTTTTGAGCAATGCCAAAAACGGATCTTCATAGCCCCACATCAGTTCACCTACGGAGCGGGTGATGATCAAGTGCTCACCAGTTCTATTCTCTAAAAACTCCACCACTTTTGTCACCAATTCCGGCAGCCAGCCAAATTTGACATCGACTCCCAGATAGCCCAAACTCACTGTTGTGATTGGATCGGTTTCTGGGCCTGCAGAGCGTTCAAGGTCGAAAATGTACTGTTTCACCTCTTTGTACGTAAACATGGTTGGGTAGAGACTCCTTTTGACTTCTGTTTTGAATCGACGTTCACGGTAGGTATAGGGCCCCATTTGTTGGACTATTGGCTTCTCCCCAGCTAGAAACTCATCTGGATTTGTTAGGTTGAAGAAATATGCTTCGAAGAATATATCAATTGTTGGATCCATCCACTGTTGAAAAGATGGTGTACCGGACTTGAGTTCCGTCTTTTCGTACACTACCAGCCATATGATGGGGTCAAGAATGACCAAAGTTATGAGGAAACCAAATAGAAAAATTGCCAGCACACCGAGAACAATCACAAACTTGTTGAGATTCATGTTAGACTGAAGATTACTGTTCTGCTTGGTCTTTACTGGCTTTAAGTGGCGGAATTCGAAGACCAGCTGCGAGTGTGTTGTTCTGATTGGTCGAAATTAACCATGCTTCGTCAACTGACCTTGAATCTCTCATCTGATTGACCTCATTTTATTCTGCGCATGCAATCCAAGGAAGCCGACCAATCGTGGTTGACCTAGTTAGTAGTCGTGCTCTCTTGTCTGCCATCCGTAGGATTTCAGTGTACTTAACACATGTTACTAAAAGTTGATAGGCCCTTCACAGTGAAACCGATTTTAGAGAGTCATTGGTTTCGGAACCGAGCGAGCGAAATATGGCGCAAAATTATTTGCAAAGCATTCGAGTAAAAGCCCACTGAGAGTTCCCTGACAATGTACTGTATTTAGGTGATGAAAATACTTGCTGTCTACAAGAAAAATAGTGAGCAGACTGAAAGCTGGAAAAACTGAAAAAATTTCGAGAGTCCATCATCAGCCATCAGAGACAAAATCCCCAGTATTGACACTGGTGCTTTACTACTGTACAGTCACAAAATTTGTCTGATTTGAGTTAAAACCTTTGAATGAGAAGAAGCGAAAAGAGTGGGTGAGGGAGTAGATATGTTGCTGGTCTATGGCAAGCATTCTGAGGTTCCCAAGCCTCCAAGTGCTCAGTAAGACAATCTGGGGGAAGAAATTAACATCATAGACGCCATTAACACCAAGCACCCACCATTTCGTGGAGTACCTCCAGCGAAGAGCATGAGGGACCCCCCCCCTGGGAAGCGCACCGCACCAACAACACCCAAACTCTTCGTAGTCTCTTTTACCCCCTTCTGCCAAGTTGTGCGTTGTCCAGCTTGCGATTTCCGCCATTGTGAAGGAGGCACAGAGGTCAAAACTCATCTCGGTAGATGATGTGTAGCACATATTCGAGCCATTGCAGTTGGTGGTGCTGGATGTTTTCTGCTATTGAAGTACCTGCTGCACAACCAGACGCCCGTTTTCCAATTCTCTCGTTAAGAATTCGTGTAAGCTATCCTAAACCAGCAACGCTGCTGAGGCATCGTTGGTGTCTCACATCATCTGTCCGCAGAGGCCATGTTCCACAACTTCATTATAAGACAGCCCTTACTGTAGAATGGTACACGCGATCATTAGGACACAGTGATATACATTTTTGACGTCGCAAGTGACGCAAACGCTATTCGGGCTTTTGATATTCATGCACTGACTTCATCAGACGGATTTCCGTCAGAGCTAAGTGAAATTCTTCACAACCTCCGCTGCTTTCATTTGGATGGTAAGGGGTACGTTCGCAGACTGTACCTCCCAAAGTAGGGCTTCAAGCAGGACTATGGCTTTCATTTGGATGGTAAGGGGTACGTTCACAGACTGTACCTCCCAAACCAGGACTTCAAGGACTTTGAAGGACTTCAAGCAGGACTATAAAGGTGCAAGACGCGAGCCGAAAGATGGTATGATGGTAAGTTTATTCACCAGAGATTGTTTCTGGTCTTCACCCTCAAAGATGGGGGCGGGATGGCTCAGTGGTCAGGGCACCAGTTTACTGACTTGAATGACTGTGGTTCGAACCCGACCTCTGCCTCTCGACCTCCCCTGTCTGGGCTTGGTCAACCTGGTCAGCTTTCACTGTTCCGTTTCCCCGTGCCAAAAACGGTAGCTGATTGGCTCCTTCGTACACGGGACAACAATATAATAAACGATTTCGAGAACAGAATGCACAACATGGAACAGAAACACATCCGGCCTCAGAGATGTGCCTGTTATCCCGTACCAACGAAAAGACAAGAAACCGACAACTTTGCGGCATGTGTCATACTACTTAAATCGATGAAAGTAGCGAAATGTTCAAAAAATTATGGTAAATGTGTCACCTTCCAACTCGGTTGGAAGGGATCGCCAGCTGCAGGTGAGAATGAATTAGATTGTTTACAGGTCGAAGAGGGCTTACCCGACAACAATGATAGTATCGTAAAGAAAAACTCAGATATGTAAGAAGAATTCCTCGTGAAATTCCTTCCAAATGCTCCCACTATTAAGAGTACCCCACTGAGTGATTAAATCTGTTAACGGAGGCTTCTGAGGAATTCAGTTCATGCTGTATCGTCGACTAGCCCACTAAAGCGTCTGTTAGGGATTTGCAGCCCGATGGAGTTTTGTTAAGTAGTGTTGGTTAGGCAACACCAAAATATCTTGTCCGAAGTCCATTCTCCGCAAACTTTTTGAAAATATCGTCTAGAATAAACCCGCCTAGGGTTGAACTGTGGTTGATGAGGCAGATCATGCGTGTAGTTGGCGGTGCTCCGATGTTGGGATTATCCACCTTGTCGGGTATGGACGGCAATTCATTACAGATCACTGGGACATTGGAGGCGTCCTGATGGTTAAAGTTGCATTTGGCGACAAACAATTAGTTGGTTCTAGGCACTTAGATCACATTCTCTCAGGATTGGTTCACTAGGGTCATTGATTGTGTCGATGGAATGGGTATGGATGTACGACCGCGGAGATGCCGTAGTTCAGGACTGGACACGAGTTTTTTGTGTGACGCAATTCTGAAAAGCTAGTAACATCGATCAGGCCGGACGTCAAACCGTGTATCGATTAATGAAGATTTATATTTTCCATAAGAATTGTATTTTTAGCCTAGATTCGATACAGGACACGTCACAATCTGTTTTTGTTTCTCAATTAGATTAGGTGAAAACAAGTTGGATGGACCGATTGCGCATGAACCGAATTTTAAAAAAATACAAAAAACGCTTTAAAGAGGTAGAACAGCCGTATAAGGACGAGGAGACTAGTAAAGAATGAATAAAAGACAAATTAAGCTCCAATACTCAGGGGGATTGGAGACTTTCCTTCAAAAGATACGCGGTCAGAACACCAAACTACCCACCCAAAGGGCACACGATAATGAATAATCCAGGTTTTCCAAGTTCGAATAAAGCATTGATGACAAATAACCATAAGGCGGTTGATGTCGGACTCCCATGCGATGCGGTCTTTTGGAACTTCGTCGGCTGAAATGCAGGCAGGTACCAAACGCTCTTACATACGTTGGGATTCTTCTTGACTGGGGCGAACTGTGGGTGGTGTGACTTCTGTCGGGATGCTTTCCTCGTTTCATATGATACTCTCCTGTAACCCTTCACTTTTTATGTCTGTGCTCATGCTCTTCAAAAATAAACG